CTCGTTCTTTCGCTTCCCGTCTGATGAAAGGACCAGGAGGTGCTGGATCAAGTTAGCTACCTAGCTAGTAGCTAGCACGTTAGTTAGCATTACAACCGTGTCTTTTTTATTAGCCTTAATATGAAGAAACATTAAGTAACCCAAAATGTTAAACAGTAAGAGTAGTAGTCATATTTCGTGAACCCTTTGAAGAGTACTGTCACCGGTGTGATCATTCTATAATACACAATTTAAGCTCGGGGGAGAAATGCTAACGCTAGCATCGCCGATCTTTTATACTTCATGCTATCTGCACAAATAGGTTGACATTAAACATTAAAAAGACCAGGCAGTTCAGAGAGAATCAAAGGAAGGCAGGCAGGCAGCTTTGCATGACTTTCTTCTGGACGTGTTTCATTGTGGTGATAGTGAGGGTAGTCAACCGTTTTGTTGACAAGACAGTAGTGACGGCCATCTTGGTGACGTGTGTTGTTGTGGGAGACAGAGATGCAGTTCATTCCGCGTTTCACACAAACAAATGTGTTACTTCACAGTTTTACGACACATTTTTTTTTTTTTTTACTTGCAAAATTATCTTTCGAATTGACAAACATCATATGTGTAATTCGTGGCACAATTCAAACGGGATCGAAAGAGAATCTTTCTCTCTCCATTGACTTCAATACATAATCTTTTCGAAATAAGGTCCCATGGAGGTCCACCGGAAGGGGAGGGACTTGGCCACTCTATAGAGAGGCGAAGTCCCTCCCTTTCCGGGGGAGCTCCATGGGACCTTATTTTTTTACTTTTTTTGTTTGAAAACGCTCAATGAACTACATCTCCCGTCTCGCAACACACACCAAGACGGCCGTCACGTTAGCACATTACAATTCTTTCTTTCAGAATGAGGCGAAAAGTATTAAAAGAGGTGAAAATCACTCATCATCAAGTCTGGGCATGATTAGAGCTGTACATACACAAAAAGGGAGTTAGTAGGTTCCGTAAGAGCCAGCATGCGGGACTGGGATTCTGGGATTTGTAGTCTTTCTACTTGCGTATTTTTCATAGTCTTATATTTCAACAGTTTTATGACAAACTCTGACTTTTTTTACATGGAAATAATTTTCTTAAGATTGACAAACATCATATGTGTAATTCGTGGCACAATTCAAACGGGATCGAAAGATAATCTTTCTCTCTCGATTGACTTCAATACATAATTTTTCTGAAATAAGGTCCCACGGGGCGGAAGTAGAACGGCGGGACTTCGCCTCTCTATAGAGAACCGCAGTGACGCGTCCTAAAACGCTGAAGTAAGTTAGCATTTTTACCACTTCCGGTTCCTTCGACAAAAAGCAATGCAATTTCTCTATAGGATTGGAAAATAGCTTGAAATAAGGTCTGTCTTTGACACAAATTGAAGAGACAGATCACATTTTGTTCTACGACATTAAATACATCAGCAGTGATTTTTGAAGAATTTACGTGTCTGAAAAAAGGCTGGTTGTTAACAAGTGGCTGAATAGGACTACAGAAGTTGTCGAGGCCGTTGTACGTCATTACACCGAACACGTAAAGACTCCCGCTAAGTTTCTTTGCCCTGTTCTGCTTGAAAGCAAGTACCTGCGCTCTTGCAAACTGTTAAAACAAAAGCTTCAACTTGTACAATTTTGAATCTGTATTTTTGAATATATAATATAATAGAGTATCGTAGTGCCGTGGTAGGATGCTAGCGTAAGCACAGCGCTGGCTTTGATTGTAGACCAGCGGCGCTGCGGGTGGAGCTGTTGGAAGCCATCAGACAGGATGAGAGGTCAGTCGCGGGCTGTCCTTTACAGCAGGAGCGGGAGGTTTAAAGAACCAGAGTCGGGACCCACGGGGAGGGGCAGGACGAAGAATGGGGCTGGTTATTTGATGGATGGAGCAGCGTTAGCAGGTGGGCTACAATGGCAGGTGTAGCAGGGTAGAAAACCAGAGCGTACGTCAAAAGTGACAATCGGGTGTAACAAATGTCAGATCAGAACACAAAAGCCACAGAATAGTTAGAAAACTGTAGCAGTAGAAAATGGTCAGAAACTCTTAGATTAACACAAAGAAAGACGAGATTTTCGGACAGAGAAGCGGCGAACAGTCAGCGCCCTCTCACGCCGGAATTACTATCACTAATATGTAATGTAATATACTAATATAATGGTACCAACCTCACCCAACAAAACTCTTTTTTAATTGAATAAAATAAGCCAAAGAAAGGCCAAATGTTTCCGAAAAACCAGCAGCCAATTCATTAAAAAATAAGATTGAGATAGTAGGTGAAAAAAAACAAAAACAGGGAACAACTTTGATTCTTATCAGGAACGTTCCGGTTAAAGGATAATTAAATAAAGCAATTTCAAGTCATTACAAAACAAATAGCTAAAAATAATGAGACCACGTCTGTACATTTTTCATTCATTCATTCATTCATTTTTCATTTTACATTTTTCATTGTCCTTCCTCCTTAGACAGGTGTGTGTGAGGTGATACTGGCTGAATGTGTGTATTCTGATCTTATCCTAACATGAGGGCGACAACAGTGCACCCTCTTCCCTCCTGTGAGTCCTCGACATCTACGAGGCGCCTGGTTTTGATACGGTCACCTTCCTCCTTGTTGTCTCTGCACCCCCACCCCTCCTGCTCCTGTTTTCCGGGACAGCTGGAGGAGCAGCTGCGGGCCGACAGGGCATCAAACGTCCCACCAGCCTTCAGAGTAATGTCCCCTTTAACCTACATGCAGAACCACCCAGTCTATTCACGCCTCGACTGGATCTGTCACACAACACAACGTCGCCGCCAGCTGGACAGAATGCTGCTTATAGACTGATGGCCTGTTCAGTGGTCCTCCTTGATGTCTCCTTCTTGCATCACATCCTCTAACTTACTTATCTAAATGTAAAAGACATTTTCTGGTTCTTACAAAAATGTTTAATTAAATAACTATTATATTTATTATAATTAAAAGACACTATTGTGACACTACTCACTGCTTTTTCAGGCAAATCTGCACAATATAAAAGGCTATACTATTTACTATACAAAGTTAGAATTTAAACTGAAATTGAATATTTGCTTGAATGATGTCTGCCCTTGAAAGACCTCACTCCTACAGAGCTCCACCCACTTGTCCAAATATAGTCACTTCTGGTTCCAAAAAAAAAATCATATATGATGTAATGTATCATGTCAAAACTAATGATATGGTCTAATACGTACAAATAATCCCATTTTCATGTCAATATGATAAAAAGGTTTTGACTTGGTGACGCCTAGTAGCAGTTTGCATGTTATAGATATTCTCAATCCTCAAAGAATGAATCTTAATGGTGGTAGTGGTGACTCACACTGTTTCTTTGGCACCACCATAGCCCACAAAATGTTTCATGTATGCAAGATATGTCCAACATTGACATGGAATTTCATTCATTCATACCCCTGAAGGACCCAACCTTCTATTAGTTTTAGTTTCTCCCTTAGGGAATAATATTAGCCCTACACACGATATGTCACTGCAGTACACAGCATTCGTCCTTGAGCAGTCTATGATCATGTCCACACACACACACACACACACACACACACACACACACACACACACACACACACACACACACACACACACACACACACACACACACACACCTCTTCCTGTCCCCCCCTGCACAGGTGCGCACACTGGATAGCGGGGTTATCCGTGACACCCGTCTGCTGTCCAGCTCCAATGTTAGAGGAGCTGGCACTCATCCAACACACACACACACACCACACACACACACACACACACACACAAACACACACACACACACACACACACACACACACACACACACACACACACACACACACACACACACACACACACACACACACACACACACACACACACACAACTATAGGTGTAGGGAGATAGACACTCGTTAAAATTCCTGGCCAGAGGCTCGGAACGTTACTATGCACTCACACACACACACGGACAGACACACACACGTCCCATTTGTCTGGTGTGTTGTCTGAGCAAACAGAGGCTGTGGAGGAAGGACAGGGCCAATTACAGCCTTTTATGCTCAGAGCACACATCATTAAGAAGAGCTCACAGGACTGAACACACACACACACACACACACACACACACACACACACACACACACACACACACACACACACACACACACACACACACACACACACACACACACACACACACACACACACACACACACACACACACACACACACACACACACACACACACACACACACACACACACACACACACACACACACACACACACACACACACACACTACTGCAACGTGGGGTCTCAGAGGGTGTGTTTGTGACAGATCAGAACTCCTAACGTCTGCCATATCCCCACTTTTAGTGCTCACGCACATTGTTTGCTTCACTCTGGGAGTCGCACAGCTTTATGTTGTCCTTTAAGGCATCTGTGTGCGTGTGATTTTTAATGATGATATGACATTGATTAACTCCATATGGTATAATAAAATAATGTCAGCAGGGTACATCCTATATCTGTCCCCTTGAGTGTGTACATTGTTGATCATCTTAACTCCAGCCTGACTTCTGTACAACACTTCATATCCTGTTTATCTCTAGCTCTCAAAGCTTTCAATGAAAAAAAACGAGGCACCATATATATGTTTATATTCATCAATTCTAATTAGCATATGGCCCAAGCATGCCTTAGCTCTTATTAGATTGGACTTGGAATACATTCATCTGATTGCATCATTTAAATAAAAAAAATTGACTATAACTAAATGTGCAGTTGAACTCGCTTAACTGTTTCTGCAAACAGCTGCTAGCTTAGCAGTTTTTACTTTTGTTGTTGTTTTTCTTCTTTAGTTGCTTGTAATGCACCTTGAGCACCGGGAAAAGTACTATATAAATGACGTATTATTATATTTAACAAATTCCAATTCTGAATATGTTCTTGGCAAAAGTGAGAGATAACAGACGGAGTGTACCTTGGCTGATGACGGCCTTGCGGTTGCGTCCATCCAGGTCGGCCCTCTCGATGACGTGGTGCTTTGCGTCCACCCAGTACATGCGGTGGCCGGCGTAGTCGATGGTGAGGCCGTTGGGCCAGAACAGGTGTGTGTCTGCGATGACCCGCCTGTTGGAGCCGTCCATGTTGGAGTACTCAATGCGAGGTGTGTTGCCCCAGTCTGTCCAGTAGATCTTACTGCAGGGGAAAGTGGGACAGTCATGATTAGTTTTCTGTTTTGTTTACTTGCTGGCAAGAGGTAAACAGATTGCTGTCAGGAATCAAGACACAACACTTGTCAAATATAATAAAAAGTCTCCTCTGTCCACGACATTCATGTCCTTTTCATCATCACTCATCGGCTCCGACCGGCCTTAGAGAAAAGAGCAATCTTTTTTTTGTGGATATTTTTCAATTATCTCATGCAAATGAGCTACCTAATAAGCTGAATTAGTTTTTTCTAGCCTAAAATGTATCTTGGGCTTCATCATAAACTCCATCCTGCCACTGCAGCACATTAAACTGGGGATAATCCCATTTAGCTGCTGCCCCTTTCATGAAGTACTTGTTCCACACAGATGCTCGTCTGTGGGCAGTGCTGTGCTGCCAAACTTTAATCCCCGCTCCGCTGCTGCACAACAACTGGGACACATCCAGAGGGGATATGTATAGATGGGAGAGTGTGCATTTGATGCCATCTGTAGTGATCATCATCTTATGTGTGTGTGTGTGTGTGTGTGTGTGTGTGTGTATTTGGACTCGTACCCCTCTATGGGGTGCAGCGCGATGGCTCGGGGCTTCTCCATGTTCTGCCACAGCAGCACTTTGCGGTGCGTCCCGTCCAGGTTGGCCACTTCTATACGGGACGTCCCCGAGTCTGTCCAGTATAACTTGTCATGGATCCAGTCTATGGCTAGCCCACCTAAAGGAGACAAAGCACAATTAGTTTAAGGTTTTGTTTCTCCTTCGGACAGAGCGGAGCTAGACTTAACCTTTTTTTCAAACCCTCATGCTAAGTTAAAGGTAGGGTAGGTAAGAATGGAGAAACCAGCTCGAGTGTGGTAGATTTTGAAAATACACAACCGGAAAAAATCCGCCCCTTCCTTCAGACTTTCTTACAGAGCCCCTCCTCCAACACACACAGACGCGCACATGACCAATGAGGGCACGAGATAAGTTTGTGCACAAGATGGAAGGCTGACAGGCAGGTAGGCCATCCAGTTATTTTAGCCGGGCCGGCTCAGATGATTGGTCGAGCTTTTTACAGCGCCACGGCTTCCACAGATGAAAATTCTTTATGTATTTATTGTCAAAGCATTTATTTATTCATTGCTATCGGGATGTTAAGAGTATTCCATGGAATATAACAAAAAGTGTTTCCGAAGTGAATTACTAAGCTTAATAAGAAAACTCCAGCCCAATGTTGAACACACATACATGACATTCATACTGATTAAAACAAAACCCTGTAAATGTCATCTTTAAATAGGTGTTTCATTATCTGATCCATATATCCCAAAATTGTATTTAATTATTGTTTGTACAATAAAATTCTGCCCTTCCCCGCTTTGTTAATTGGTGTTCAAACCACGTCATTAGAACATCAAAGCAATAATCAATTACCATTTGATTTAATTGAGAACTAGAGAAATACCAAAGGTCAAACAAATATAAAAAAAAACACTGAAATATTATTAAAAAAGTAGTAACAGTGAACTATACTGAACAGAAAAGGGAATAAGAAGGAGGGGGAAACTGGCCAAAAGAGCTTAAGACAGAGTTCAGACATTGAGGCTGAGAGAAATCAAGAAAAGTGTTTCAACAGTATTAATGTCACACTGCTGAGCTCATATATGAACAAGATGATGGATGAAGTGAGGGAGAGCGGAGTGTAGCAGGACAGAAAGCAGCAGAGTTGGATACAATGGATAAACGATATATATGCCTGCTATCTGGACATGCGTTATGTTACAAACCTGGGCTCTCCAGACCGGTGGAGACCACCTCTTCCACATTGGAGCCATTGAGGTTGGCCTTCATGATGCGGTCCAGCGTCACGTCAGACCAGTAGACCTGCTCTTGTGCGTGGTGGAAGTCCAGGGCGATGGCGTTCTCCAGGTTGTTGAGCAGCAGGGTGTACTCGGAGCGATGCGGCAGAACCTGACGGATGTCGATGCGGTTGGCGAACAGCAGCACAGGCTCCGGACCTAGAGGACGGAAATACAGAGACAGAGTAAAGTGAAAAGTAAAACAGCATGGAGCCAAACATGAAGTGAAAGTTGGGAAAAAAAGTGAGGGCCGATGGAGCATTCATCTCAGTGGTGATGAGGGTCTGGATCCTGACCTGGATTTAACTCCATTGTTGGGCTGCTGTACCAGGCCTGCCTTCACTAAATCTAGCCCAGACCCCCTGAATGAGCCATCATCAGACCCCGGAGCAGAGGAATGGATACAGTTACAGCTAAAGTAAGTATAAACAGTGTAGCAGGGTGTTTTTATTGGAGGTCAAACCCCAGCAACTTCTCTGCGGTCACATGTCAAGGTTGAAACAGAGTGCAGTGTTTTTTTTTACCCAGAGCTTTGCAGCTGCGTTTGTCAGGTCGGAGCTCATAGCCCTGAACGCACCAGCACTGGAACCCCCCCTCTGCGTTGGTACAGCCCTGGCTGCAGTAGCCTTCATCAGCACACTCATCCACATCTGGAAAGGGAGACAAGAGGGGAGGGACAGAAGGATGCTGGTGTTAAACTCCCGCAGGGTTTTACAATTGATTCAAGAGGGAAGTGTAACAAGGGGGCTTCAGGGTGAACAACACATTCACACTTTTGGAACACATCGTACTCTTTTTCCACACCTCATGTATTCTCAATTATTATCTTGTTATTGCAAAGACACTTTTCGAATATGGGAGCAAATATAGCTTCTACATTAGATTTAACAATTCCACCAATAAACTGTGGGAAAGAATCCAAAGTCATGTCCACAATACTTCTTTAACCAAAACCTTAACTTTCCAGGAAGTTCCATGGAAATGTGTTCATGGTTTTGGGAAATATCCTGCTGACATAAGGACAAACTGACTAATGGGAGTGAACATAGGATGTGCACGCAAACACACACCCTCGTGTACACACACACACCCTCGTATACACCCACCCAAGCCTGCATCTTTCAAATCAACAGATG